TGCTGAAGATGTATTTAAGTCACGGAGTCTCCTAGAAAAGAAGACCCCAATGGCAGGTCTTGTTTGCAAAAGGTGAGTTTTTATATGACTTCTCTTGATGTCAAAATGTCTCTTGCTATTCTAATTTTTAAGACACTGTCCAGGCCACCAGCATATCTAGGAGCAGATCCGAGCAGGAGGCTGCCAGTTTCTGACTCCTGAGTGAAATCAGTTTCACGTTATCCACCTTCCCCTCCCCTCCATCCCCAGGCTTTAGTGCCGTTCCTTCTGCAATCTGGCTTGCTTTTTGGTTTTGTTTTTAATTTGAGTTCAACCCCAGGCTGTCGGTACGGAGGCATCATGGGACCCTGCCAGGTGGAGGCAAGCCCAATTGGAAGCTGTGTTTCCTTCTCATCTCTGTAGATGTCTGCGGTGCCTTCAGGCCAGTAATTAAGTTGACACTCGTCTTGCAGGGAGAGAGGAGCAGGGCAGAGACAGCCAGGCAGAGAGCCGTGCCTGTCCACCCTGCCTGCGCTGTCAGCACCTGGGGCCAGGGAACCAGCTGCTGCTGGCTCTGAAAGTCCTGAGGTCTTAAACACCATCCAGAAGGATTTCCTGGGAGCCTCTGAGAGTGAAATGAAACCTAGACTGTTTGCACTGAATTGCAGTGACTGATTTTTTAAGTTGCTGTTAGTGATAGAAACAGGGTTGTGTGAGGTCATCACAGATGAAGTTCATGCAAACGGCCGATGCTGTCAAGGGTCCATCCCAGCTCAGTGCCACCCTCCTTCCTTACTGAGAGCCTTAGTTTTGTAGATGCGTGCCCTCCTCCCTAGGACTGCTCAGGAAAAATCCTCATTGGGTGAGGCTAATCATATTAGTGGTCTGGTCCCATTTTAGTGATAGTTTAGGGAAAACATGTAACTGATTTGGTCACTATGGTGTGAAGCCTAAAAAGAGATGTCCCTTTCTTCCTCTGAATGTTGTCATGTCTGGATGTAATATCTGGGACTCCAGCAGCCATCGTGTGACCGTGAGGAAAGTCCACTTAAAGACAAATCTGAACTGCTGCTGGCAGAGTGGGAAAAAGAAGAGAAAGAGCCGCATGCCCCTGGAGATATATTTAAGTCACAGAACTAAATTGAACTAAACCAACCCGAGCACCCCGTGCCCTCTGGAGTTCTTTTTTATGAGATACTCCATCGATCTTGTATGCCAATTTGAATTGAGAGCTTGCTGTTACCAACAGCCACGGGAATCCTAACCGCTCTGACGTTCATTCCTGAAGGCCTACGGAATTAAGAGTCATGTGGACATTCACTCATCATCTGGCAATTCGTGTAGAGTCTGAGCTCAAGGAAAAGAAGAGCCGTGTGTGGGTCCCCTGGGCTGAAGTCCATCCTGCCCTTGGGGGGCCGTTTGTCTCCAGGCCCCCGCTCCTGGGGGCCCTGTGAATGAGGAGTGCAAACTGCCCCCAGACATGCGCGTCAGACACGCGGGGTCCCTACACGTGCAGAGGCCTGAGAGCAGGAGGAGGTTTGGCCCATGTAAACAGGTACTGGGAAGCATCATGTCTTGGGGTTTAGTTTACAAATTAAGGTGACGTCCAGCCTACGAGACCTGGTTGCCGCCACTGTCTCTCTTTTCCAGAGATAAAGGCAAGGCAAGGCCGTGGAGAAAGTGTCACAGTGTCTGTGCCGTGAGGTCCTGGTCCTCGGGATTCAGGAGGCCTGGGACCCGGCAGCTTCTGAGTAAGCCTAGAGCCATACTGTCCTGGAGCCTCCTGGTCACTGTGGCTTAAGACCCACTGTGTCCAGCCTGGTTCTTTCCCAGGATTTAATCYCGTAATAGCTGACATGGCAAACATTGCTAGCTGCCTACCCAACGCCTTCCTCTTCTTTTGCTTATTAAGAGAAGGAAGTTTTGATGTTTGGGGATTTTTTTTCTTGGGGGGTGGGGGGGTGGGGAGGTGGATAGAATGATAGAGTAGCACTGTCCCCAGCTGAAATATGACATTTCTCAGCTTCCTTTGCTGCGAGAAGAGGCCATGTCACACATTATGACAAAAACACAAAGGTTGAAGATTTCTGAGAAAGCTTTATTTTCATGATATGAGCCCCTCTCTTTTCTGTTTTCTGTTATTTTTCCTGAAGGAAGCCAGGGTGTGTTGATTGGAGCTTCAGCAGCCATTTTGTGAAGGCAATCTTAAAAACATCACAGAGACCTTGGCTCTGAATCTTTGGATCACTGCTTTGGCCTGTCTTGCCAGCTCTCCTTATCATACGATAATGATCTGCCTCTGTCCACCTGGCTATGTTGTATAATTTATGGGGGACACACAGAGAAGGTGGGAAGACAAAGAAAATGGAAAGAGGTTTCTAGTTTTTATCTGGGTCTCATTTGAGACGGTTAATTGGAAGTCACAAAATCCGAAACGTGGAGCTAGGAGACTTTTTGGTGCCCATGCAAACATCTCTCTCTTGCTGGGGGAGGGGCCAGGGTTCATGGTGGTGGATCTCCCTCAAAGAGTTCTTCAGGTGTTCTGATCACACCCGCCCGTGGCTGAGGAAGTGAATACTGCAGTCCTCGTATTCTGCCTAGATGACTCCCCATATATCCGAGCTTGGTTAAAATGCTCTGTGATGATCAAACACCCCCAGTAGGAATGGAAAGGTGGGCATTCTGAGGCTGGAAATTGTACTGTGCTGTTTGAAATGCCCATTAGTGTGTGAGTGAACCTCTGATCATCAACAAAGCTTGCTCAATCACCCACAGCAATCCACCCCGCAGCACTTAAAAAAAAGAGAGACTGTTTTAAAAAGACCAAATTTGAAGTCTATTATTGCTTTCTTCCTTTTGGATTCTTCCTCTTGATTATCCTGCTTTGCTGCAGGATTTCTAAACATTGTCACCTCTTAGATGCGGTCCCTCTCCTTGCTGTACACACACCGGCCGACCTGCTGTGGAGACCAGTCCCTGGGCTCCTGCTTTCCCAAATCCCAGGCTGGTGCCAACTGTTCTCTAAGGCAGGAATAGGCAGAAATCAAAGGGGAAATTCTTTTTGTTCCAGCGGAGGAGGGGACAGCTGTTACCTGTGTTCACCACCTCTTTTGTGACCATCTCTCAGCTTTGATAGGGTCCCACATTCCCAAGCTAGAATCCTGAAAACTACATTTCCCAGTTGCCCTTGCAGCTAGCCATGGGCATGTGATCTAGATCCCACCAATCAGATCACACTCCTTCTGGACTGATTTGGAAGTGACCCTCAGGGAGAGGTTTTCAGGGCTGGGGCACCTGGTGGCAGAGGCAGGAGGAGGAACTGTGCAMCCGGGCAGCTCTGCAGAGTGCTTCTGGCATCACCATCCCATCAACTGACCAAAGCGTAGGCTCAAGGCCTGAGCCCAGATTTCTGGCCTTTCCCATCTAATATCCATTCACAAATTCCTCCTTATTTACTTCAGCTACCCCAGATGGGTGCCAGGAACCATCAGACCTCACAGATAAGGGATGTCACTCCACTTACAAACAAGTTCAAGACCGTTCTCCTCGTCGGGAAGAGCCTCTCTCAAATGAAGGGATTCTAGTGCTGACCTGGGCTGGGCACGTGGGAGTCCTCAAGGGTCAGGAGCTGATGTCACAGAGAAAACGTCCCACGGGCGTCTGCTCTCTGGAGATGATGCAAGCAGTGACAGTCTAGATGGGGTTTTCCTAGCAATGCTGCCACCTGTCTGGGAGCCTGGTCCTCCCTACCTGCAAGGCCCCGGGTACAGAAAGCTTAGCCTGGTTCTGGAAGATGTTTTCATCTTTGGGTGTGTGCTGCCAGAGAGTGGACCCTCCCGAGGGCTTACCCTCCATCAGCAGCTGCATGGGCTTCAGTTGACAAAACCCAGGATCAAGTTCTTGGGAAGAGAGGCCCAGGAGGCCCCCAAGGTAGAGAACAGGGGCTGGAAGAGGAGATTCGTCTTCCCAGTTCCCCAGGCCTCACTTTGTAGAAGCTTTGAATCCACATAGTGTTAGAAGAAATGAGAAAGGACACGTCACCTCTTTGTGTTTCTTCGACAATCAAAACCAGAACAAGATAAATCTCTCTAAGGTTTCAGATGTGATTTTCCTAAATGAAGAAAGTAAACCTTTGTCAGGAAGCTTCTCAACCTGTGGATGTGCTGATAAAATGCAGCTGGGGAGCATCAGTGGCCTGCGGCAAAGGGAAGGCAAACTCTCGAGTTCATCTTAGCCTTTTGCTGACCAAATCTGGCGTGGGGGATGACCTCTCTAAGATTGGCAAGGAAGTTTTGAGGAAAAAAAAGACAACAAACCCCCAAACAAAAACAAAACCAGTGATACTTGGTAAACATGATGAACGGGAGGTTTAAAATGCCGTGCTGGGGAAAATCTGTGACTATGAACATTTGGATCCCAGCTCCACCTGCTGTGTGACCTGGGGAAAGTCACCTGCCCTCTCTAGACCTCTGTTGGCTCATTTAAATGAGAGTGATCACTCTCAGCTTATAGGAGTAGGATGGGGAATGTGTCGATGACATCAGCAACTTACCTGATAGGTAGTGATAAGGACTGACTATAAGGGGCTTCCTAAGTGATAAGGAGGGCCAGCCAGCCTCCATCTCCAACCCAGCCCAGCAGCTGGCAATGATAGAGRGACTGGTGAGATCCTGGAAGGGCCATTCTTCACTCCAAGGCCTCGGTAAGTGGCCTTCAGCTGCAGAGCTGACCATCGGCCTGACTTAGTCAGCAAACCCAGAAGCACGCCATCGAGCTAGCTGTCCCGTTCATCATTGTCCCCTCTCCTCCCACTTGGACTTGAAATAAGAGAGCAACCTGCCCCTCAGACAAGGKGTTTAAGCTTTTATTGTGAACGATGACAGATCGGGGCCCTGGACCTAATCAACCAAGAGCCAAGATGGCAAAAGCTTCMTTGGAAGACTCATTTGGGACAATCRTTTACAGCAAACAAGTTCAGACCAGAAGATGCTGCTTGGAAATCACGGACTCAGCCAAGGTTGAGAGATACGAGGATGGTTAGATGTTCTGCACAAAGGAGATCCTGCAGATCCAGCAGAGGTGACACTTGCGGAAGGCAGTCTCTCAGGGATTTTGTTTGGCTCCTCTGAGGTCATTGTCCCTCAGCTGGGCATCCCTTCCTTCCTCTGGAGAGGCTGGAGCAGAGAGTCTGCCAACTGGAAAAACAGCAGAGTGAAGCAGACATATTATTAACCCTGAAGACAAATCCATTTGCAAGAAACCCTTGGCCTCACTGGGGAGCTCATTAGAAAACAAGATGAATTTTTGGGTCAGCCCGGCCTTCCTGGCTCRGAAATTCTGGGGAGAGGCATTGACCTGCCCGTGTGAGCCCTAGGGATGATTCTGACCACGCAGTGTTTGAGCACCACAGTACCCCCAAGAGAGAAACTGACCTCCGCTTTTTGAATTGCTGTATTTGGGGAGGGGTCTTCTGTTGCATCTGCCTACCTTGTGCCTGCTGTGATTTCTCAGGCAGTTGTAACCAGTGTTGGAAGTGAAAAGTGTAATCCCCAGGACTTGACACCTAGGGTAGCAGCTGGTGGGGTGGGGGGTGGGGACATGCACTTTTGTTCTTTCTTGGCTGACTTTGGCAGAGCCTGGTAACACCAATCAAAGCCAGTTTCCAAACTGCACCATCGCACGCTCCCAGACCTAGACTGTAACTGGTAGTCGTGGGGCACCCCGGGAAGGGGAGCTCAGTCGGGGTCTCTGCCAGCACTCTAAATGTAGTGTGGTTTGCTTGCTGCTGCTTCTGCTCCATTTAACTAAGACTCAAGAAAGAGAAGTTAGAATTTAAAAACACTTCTCTGGTCCCATAGCAGTGTTTACCCAATGAGATGAGAAACTAGAGCTCCTTCCCCTTCTCAAGGCTCCCCGGCAATTCAGATTCCCCAGCTTCCAGATGGGCCATTTGTTCCTAATAAAGACACTACTGCTGTTCGGAGGCAAATGGTTACCTGCCCTGTGCCTCCACTGGAAAGCAGGTACTAATGAGCCCGGGGCTGGGTTCAATTCCCACACAGGCCAATTAGCTTTTCCTTCCTCCCAAGGGCTGCCAGGCTGCTGGAGATGAGACCATCCATCTTGCCATGCCAGCTGCTGTCCATGGGAGGAGTCAGAGACATTGGGGGAAGAGACACAGATGTCCCCCATTGGCTCAAATATTGAACTGGGAGGACTGGCTCAAGGCGGGGAAAGGAAGAAGAGCCCTGTGGCTTGGCACCATCAGGGTACCCCGGGACAGAGGCGGCTGGGTAAGGAGGAGCTGTGTCGGAAATGGGGGCTGCCTTCATTCTTCCTCCATAGAAACTGCCAGGACCGACAGTTATTCCTGATTGTATGCTGCCTGTTCTGTGTGCCGAGCTTCCTTCGGAACATTACAAAGATTAAGAAAGAAAAGCTTCATCCTGTTCATACTGATTTGATGGGACAATGAGAGGGGTCCCTTATAAGTGAGGACAAACTTGCACCTCTACTTCCTTTCCAGAACAGCTTCTGGAGTCCCTCCCTCTACCCCTTCTTCATGTCCACTAAAAAGAAAAACCCAAGGCTACCGAAAACAGTGGCTTGGGACCCAATCACAGAGACCCCCCAAGGCTAACTAATACTGGCACCGGAAGTCAGCACCATCTACAGCCACACCCTGGAGCCAACCCCCACGCTGTCTGGCTTTATTAGAAACCATGGGGTAAAATTTCCACTGATTTCAGGATAGGATGAGAAGATTCGTGGGGAAAGTGCAGGCGAAAGGTTAAAGTTATCCTTGGAAATGGTGCCCATTTGCCCTAATCCAGAGTCAGTGCAGATTCCCACACATCTTCCTGAATTAAGTAAATGTCTTTGTCATCAAAACATAGGAAATGCTCTGGATGTCTACCTCCAGCTCTGGGAGAGTTGGCAGCAGGACTTGGTGCTTTATTACTACGGTGGGAGAAGAGAGCATATGTGGGTAGTTTTTAATTTTAAGCAAAGTCCTTCAGCTTCCGAAGCTCCTGCTGCTAATTCTGGCTAAGTTATTAAGCTTCTCTCCAGCACCGAGAGATATATGGATTTCTAATAGAATTATTCTCTTGGCACCCCTTCTTTTTGAATAAGATAATTATAAGATGTTTTCAGTTTTCATAACAACACACTTTCATTGAGGCAGAATCTCCAAAGCAAAGGGGAGTGATAAACTGTCTTGGTCTCTGTTTTGTTTTTCACATTTCTGGAAAATATACCCAAAGCTTGGCACACAGGCTCTTGCCCTGGTTTCACCAGGGAAAGGCTATGTGACTGGTCTGCAGTCGCTATTTTTCAACCTGAGGTGGAATCAAATGGGATGGGTTTTCTAAACCTGTAAAAATAAAAGCAATGCATAAAAACAGAGAGCAAGGCCAGATTAGGAAAAAATTACCTTTTTTAGCTCACAATGGGAGAAGTCTCTCTCTCTCTCTCTCTCTCTCTCTCTCTCTCTCTTGGTACCAGGGATTGAACCCAAGGTCGCTTGACCACTGAGCCACATCCTCAGCCCCCACCCCTTTTTATTATTTATTTTGAGACAGACGGATCTCGACGAGTTGCTTAGGGCCTCACTAAGTTTCTGAGGCTGGCTTTGAACTCATGATCCTCCTGCCTCAGCCTCTGGAGCTGCTGGGATTATAGGTACGTGCTACCTACCAGGCTAGAAGTCCCTTTTTAAGCAGTCACTCCCCACCATTTCCCACTCCATGAATCCTATAATACTACCACTCAGAGACCTTTTTGGAGGATTTTCTTTCACAATTGTCTTGGAAGCTTCCGAAATTTTTCTGAATATAGGAAAGTTTTGATCCTTGGAGGATTTGAATGTTTTCAAAAGATTTCAAAGATGTGAGCCAAGTTCGGAAAATAAGCAATTTGAACTAGAACTGTTGTTTGGTTCAACAAATGAGGCACTACAGATTGATAACATGGTGGGTGTGTTGGGGAGTAGTATTTTTCCAATGCACTGTGAAAGTCAGTCCATTTCAATGTTTGTAGAAATCGATTCTGAGGGTTTTGTGGTTTTTATTATTATTATTATTATTATTCAAACAAATGAGAAGGCAAAGCACTTGACCAAGAAGTGGGGCATGGCTAGGTAGGGCTCGGAAGCCAATCACAAGTTCCCAGAGCACTCAGCATGTGATCCTTCGGCAAAGAGGAGGGCTGATCACCTAACACCTATCACACAGATCTGTCAAGAGACTCACTCAGGGCTCTGTACAAAGTTGGCACTTGGCTCTGACTTGGTTGATTTAATCCAGATTTTCTTTCTGAACAAAAGCTACTATAAAGACTTTCTCTCCAGGTGCTTCGTGCAACAGATGAGCTTTTAGTTTGCATTTAGCATGAAAAATCCCCAGTAGAGGGAAGAGCAGTGGAACAGAAAGTCTCCCTCCAGAGAGGCTGACTAAGGCTTGGCAAAGCCAGCCAGAGCCTCTGCAAGGGGGCCATCAATCAAAGAGCTAACCACCATGAACGAGAGAAGCTGGGAGGTCTCCAGGCTCCATAAGTGAAAAGCAATATTATTTATTGCCAGAAACAGAGAGGAGCAAGGCCTTCCGCTGCATCCTGTATCCTGTGTATCTAAGATCAATAAGGACCGTTACCCGGAACATGGCCTGCACGACACACACTGTCTGGGGCTGACCAAGCACAGGCTCTTGTCCCAGGTTCACCAGTGCAAAGCTGTGTGATTAGGTCTGTTTCCACATCTCCAAAACAGAAAGCCTGGGGCTATATAGCTCAGTGGCAAAACACGTACTTAGCATGTGTGAGGCCCTGGGTTCAATTCCTATTACACCCCACCCCCACCAATATGAGAGAGTAAAAGAATCTTCCTCCTAACACTGCTGTGAGCATTAAGTTGAAAAACTGGAGGTAAACTGTTTAGCCCAGTATTTGAACTATGGAGAACATTCAATAAACTAGCCATTGCTGTAATTGCAAATATTTTTACCTTTTCTTGTATATTTTGTGGAAATTTCATAAAAGTGATCATCATCTCATTTTCAGTTGTCTTGCTTTTGTCCCATAAAATTTATTCTCTGTTTTATTTACTGTCTTTGCATCTAAACATTGACCGTTTGGTATCACTGTTTCCCCCATCCTCTATAAYATCCTACGCAGGACAAATCAGTTGACTTCAGATATGTTCACCAAGTTTTGAAATATGAGGATAAAACCTGAACTCGATGATCTGGGAACCAATAGAAGAAATACTACTTTGCATATAAAATAGGAATGCAAACAAAAACGCCCCCTTCTGAAAAACATCTAGGAAGAGGCTCTTTCTTCCATGGTACTTATCAAAAATAAACACATCTGCAGACCCACAGGGATTTACTGGAATAGAGTCCATGGCCTCATTATCAAAATATTTTGGTAGGGCCATCAATGAGTAACTTCAAATAAGCACAATTGCTAATAGAACTCCTAAAGGGAAGTTTTGAAACAACAACATTTTGATGGGACCATAGGAAAAATCATCTACTCTGGCAAAAATAAGAGACAGCATGGAAATTGTCCGCTGTTTTGGTAAGCATTATGTTGGTGTTGGCCTCGAAGAGTGGCTATTAAGACTTACATCACTTTTGTGTTTCCCCTCTTTCTAACTCTTCTCMAACACCTTTCACCCCACTTCTCAAGTATGTTGGCCTCACCTACATCTTTCAAGTTGCTGCGTTCCTCTGAATCCCAAGTGGGTTGGCGATTGCCCAGGGGCTGGAGTTGAGGTGGCTGATGGCTTCTGTCCTCCTTATCCTGTATGAGGTCCAGCAAATTCCTTGCAGCCTCTTCCCACAGAGTGTGTTTCCTCAGCTGCTGCTTCAGGCCATCTCCCTGGGACACGTAGGGGAACTCTCCCGTGCTCTTTTTCCCCATTAAGTGCCCTGCACAAACAAAACCAGACCAGAATGCCACACATTGAACCAGCAGGAATGAATGGATAAGAAAGATTAAAAAAAAAACAGTTTATGTTTGTGCTGTTTCCTTCTAAATGCAGTGTAAATAGCATTTTATTTACTCTGACAGATTTTGCTCGGTGTTAAAAATGTGCAACAAGGWGGACAGAATTCAGAACTGTAACCCAGGAGTCCTGGTGTGGGAGTCAGTTTTCATCGCTGTGACCAAAATACCCTACAAGAACAACTCAGAAGAGTGAAGGTGTATTTTGGCTCATGATTTCAGAGGTTAGTCCATAGTCTCAAGTTCTCGGCTCTAGTGCTCTAGAGTATCATGGCAGAAGGACAAGGCGGAGGGACACTGCTCTGGGCACACCCCAGTGACCCACCTCCTCCAGGCACACCCCATYGGTCTGCAGTTACTACTGAGAGGTTCCAGCTCTCATAATTCAATCATTCCACCTCTGAGCATTCCTGCATTAACACAGGAGCTTTGGGGAGGACAAGTCACATCCAAGTCATAACATCTGGGTTTTTGTTCCATCATTTCTATGAACTAGCCAGGTGACCTCAGCCAAGTAGTTTAATATCCTGGTCTTCCATTTTCTCAGCTATAAAATTTATAGGGTGAGCTAGATTAAACCCAAGGAACCCTCTAAATCTCAAATTCTATCATCAATTCTATGTGCACCAAATTCTATTCCCAACAGAAGAATGGGCTTTAAACATCTTCCTCAGCCAATTCTGAATTGCTTCTGAAAATAAAAGCCTTGGTGTGTTTCTTTGCGAGATTAAAAGAAGAAGAAGAAAAGAAAAGTGTTGCTTTCCTCTTATCCTTAATACAAATGTACCAAAGGAATTTTTCACTTAAACTTTCTCAGAATTTTAGCTGAGATTGAATCTAGGAAACTTCACCTGGACATTATTAGTTAAGAGCGTGATGAAAAACAAGCTGGAAACAAGTTCTGACTAACACTTGGCAACCACATAAATGCAGGGTTTTCTCTTGGATGTCTGAGATGGTCAGTGAGTGTCTCTAAGTGGCCTCAGGGACAYGCACCTGCTGTACAAATAAAGCCATCATTAAGGAGGCCAAAGTGCTAAAGACAGGGAAATTCACGTTTGCAAATGAAGTTAACACAGGATAAGAAACAGGCAGGGAATTCAGGGTCTGCGGTCTTAATACTTTAACCCATTGCTTCAGCTACACACATATGTTGTCTTCTTCTGCTTTCCCTCACCCCATCTCTCTGAAATTAGGCCTTTACCTCTTTGAAATTTTAACATCAATGAAAGGTTTTTTTTTTTTTAATTTAAAGTATATACTGGATAAAGTCCTTATGGTCCCAACATAGACTGGCATTAGAAGTATTAAAGACAAATATCATGGAAACAATATTTGAAAGACCTTCAGTCACTTAAAAGAGGCCCCTTCCCAGAGCACTGTCCACCAACAAAGAAGCCTCATTATAACTTCATCACTGTCATATATACTGCAACTGACAGTTTCCAGAATGTTTAAATGTGGATTATTTCATTTGATTCAGACCACAGTAGGTTTTACTATAATAGATTTGGTGAAAATGAGGCTTACCTGAAGTCACACAGATATTAGCAAAGGTCCCTAGGATTAAAGTCAGCTCAGAGTCCAAATTCCATTATATTGTTTCAAAGTGCCTTTTAACTTCCTAAAACTACAAGGTAGCAACACATCATTCCAGGGTCTGGAAAAAAGAGTAAGATCTGAAAAAAAGCCTTCCAATTTTATAAAAAGGCACAGAGACTGTATATTAGTATATAATGGCTCATTATGTAAATGAGAAGAATTAATTCAATATAAGGGAGACTTCAAATGAGATTTTCAGTGTAAGTCCTTGCTAAGTCACTTACAACAGGAGACGTCACATGATTTTAAGACCCTACTGAGATCAGTTTTCAAGCTGAAGCACTGGGAACCTGAATGCTTGGCTCTTCACTTATATGCGTGGCCAACTTGGTGCCTGGATATCCACTAAATAACCTTGCACTTGGCCATAACAGTGATTATGTTGAACAACTTCCCAGGAAGTTCTGATGCATCAGCTTCATTTATACAGAGGAAATTGAATCATGATGACTGGAAGGCAGGATTGGAACCCTGATGCTCCCGTAATGACCTCAGTCCCTCTTGCCCTCCCTAATTGCCTATCATCTAGCCAGGATCCTGGAAATGAGGAAGGAGTTATTGGCTCTGAAACAGAGGGGTGATGGAGATATTATTTTTACAAACAAGAACTTTATTTTGTCATGGCCAAATAATTTTGTKGACTTTCTATAATGGGAGGATAAAGTCATCACCCATTCTGTGATCAATTTAACACAGATCCTGTGACGCTGGACTGAATTTCATGTGTGGTGGGTGTGTGATGTTCAGCTCTCCATCACTAGATCTACAAGCTGGTTATTAAGGAAAGCACACCATCTATAACATCCCAGGGAAGCACTCATTTCCTGGGTCCTATTTCACTTTTGTGCTGGCTACTGTCAACCAAATCATTGTCTCCATGGCAACATGGAGGATATGCCCACTTCTACCTCTCCTCCCATCATCATCTGTCACATGTCCATATCAAAATAATGGAGATCTCAGCATAGACAAAAGACAGGCATTTGCAAAACAAAACCTTGGTCAGAGAGACAGAGAGAAAAGAGCTTCTGTTCTTTTTAATCGTTTAAAGAAACCACTAATAGACAAGTCTGAATTTCCTTGAAGTCAAAATTTGAAAATTATCCTAACTTAAGAAAATATATACATCAACGTGTAGACTAAAGTATTGAGTACTTCTAAGAAGTAGTTTTTCTGGAGTTTTTGTGTTTTGCTTTTGTGGGGCTGGAATTGAATCCTGGCTCTTGTGCATGCTAAGCAAGTGCTCTACCATGAGCTACACCCCCTAGTCCTGGAGCCACACTTTAAATCCCCCAGTTTCTGAGTCAGCACTGCAGTGTCAAGCCACTTTGCAGCTTCAGAGTGGTGCTTTCCAATTCCACCTTCTGGGATAAGCAACACATCAAAGAGCCAACACTAAGAACATTGCAYGGAAGCATTGAGAATAGTGTGTGTTGACACACATTTTCATTGCACAAACATTCCCATGGACATCCAGCCACAGAGGATCATGCTACATTTTCTAGCTGTCATCTCCTTTTCTGTTGCTACACTCTGCTTTTGTCAGGTGGAAGGAGCAAATCAGTTAACAGGCCTGCAAATGGAAGCTGACAACTTCCTTGTAGACAGCAATATGTGTCTTTAGTTTTGCACTAATTAAAACTAAACTGTGTGTCTTTGTGATTGGAGAGGATTGGCCTTGGTTTGGGATAACTGAAAGCTAAACTTGAAACTTAACATCATTTGTCCCTGCCAACGCTTCTTATTCCAACATTGGTATGTGTACACACAACAAACTTTTAAAATATACAATGTAATTTTAGGCTGAAATTTATATTAATCTTGACCTCCTTCTTCCCTTGCTCTTCCTCACACCCTGTACAAACAGGGGGAAGAGAAAAGGGTACATTTAATAATAAATTTCAAAGTGGCATTTGGGGTTGCTGCTGGTCTGTGTACTTTGGGGTTACCACTAGGAAGGGTGAATAAATGCAGACACCCTAAGTACCTGGGGACAGTCATGTTGCAGAACTACAGCAAAACAGGTTGGGCCTGGCTTGCACCAGAAATAATGACCATGCTCCCCAGTTAACTCTGTTCTCCTACTTTGGGCCTGCAAGGCTTACCTCATAGTAAGTCCTGTTAGTATAAAAATACAGTTGAGGAAAACAGGTTGGAAATCCTGAAGGCTCACTCCACCTTTCCTCCTCCTGAATGGTGGCTATACCAGACAAGGGCCACTGGACTTAAGCTCCCAGAGACCCTTGTTAAGAATTACTAATTCTAAATTTGGGTTCTTTGACCCCTTGTGAGTGTCCTTCATTCTGGAAGTGCAGGGCTTCTCAGCCTCACCCAGGCCAACTTCTCCTGGGTTTCACCAGGTCCTTGGAGATCACAAATCCTCTCAACCCTGGGGGGAGGATGATACTAATAGCAGCGACAAAAATTGCTCTGGGCAATCCCGGGCTCTCTCTCCTCTGACAAAACCAAAGGCAACACAGAGGCCCAGGAAACCAGTTCCAGCCTCACCACCCCTTCCCCCAAATTCCTCCTCTTCGTGGCAGGAGGTTGATATTCGAATTAATAAGTACTTTTTTTAACACACTGTTTCCGGTCCTAAGTGGTTGACTAAGGAAATAGTGCGTGTCTCTGTCTCTGTCTCACACACACCATCTCTTTAGAGATGGGCCCGCTCCCAGGTTGAGGTTGGTGCAGTGAGCTGCGGTGGGGTACGTCTGGGGATGTTGAACCCCTTGCATTTGCAAGAGGCTATGCTTAGCGAGGCCCAAAGGCCGGCGGGTGACGGGTGATGGCGAAGCTGGCGGCGGCTGCCTACTACCACTTGTCCTGGGTGTGCCCTCGGCAGACCCCTGACCTGGCAGGCACCCTCCCGCCCGGCTCCGCCCTCCACCAGGCAGTCTCTTCCGCCTTGCTTCCGGGAATCAAGACAGGGGAATCACCACGCCGGTATCAGAGAGCAGGAGGTTGGCAGAGGAGATGGGAAAGACGCTAAGGCAGAGGGCGAAGTCGTGCGTTTAGATAGACCGAGACTGAGAAAGAGCGGGGGCTCCAGGAACGGAGAGGCTAGGGTGAACGCTACGAGCACGCGCGATTCCTGTAGCGCGGAGCCCGCCGGCTGGAAAGAAAGAGGGTGGGCAAAAGGCGGGGTGGGGGGATAGTATCTGTAAAGGAAAGAGCAGGACCCAGACAACTCAGGAGAGCCACAAACAGTATACCTTCAGGCACTGTTAGCTGAACAGATTTGGAACCCGGGGCGGGAGCGCTGCGTCCCTGGACCCCACACCTGTGGCTTTGCCAGGCGCAACCTCGCAGCAGGGGCTCCAGCCCAAGCTCATAAGAGTCGTAGCCTGGACCTGGCTAGACCTAGGCTCAGAGACACGATCGCGACACCTCGCTCCCCAAAGTTGTTCCAGGAGAGACCCATGCCAGAGCGGGTTGAGATTAGGTGAAAAAAAAAAAAAAAAAAAAAAAGGAAGTGTCGGATTTATGCGGAGGGAAGATGAGCTGAAGCGTAGGGTTGGGATTTTTGGAGAGCTGCGCGCTGGCTTCTGCGCCCTGAGGAGGAAGCGGGTGCGCACCCACAGAGAGCGAGCGGGAAAGGATTCAGGGACCAGTCTCCGGTTAGTTAGAGACCCAGTCTTCCCGGGACGGGGAAAGGTGGGGTGGAGTTTGGGAGATCGGGGTCGGTGTTTTAGTAGAAGGGTCGGAGCAAGCCCAAGCCCCACAGCCCGTCCGCGAAAAGGCTGAGATGCGGAGACAGGTCTCCTCGGGCTGGCTGATCCCTCCAGGGACAAGAGCGCGCGGCTCTTGCGGCCAGGACACTCACCCACCGCCCAGTGATTGCCGCGCGGGTACATCTTGGCCAGCACCGTCCCTTCGCCCACCGGCACCGGGGCTGCTGGCCCCAGGGGCGCCTGGCAGAGGACTAGCGCCAACAGGAYGAATGGGAGCTCGGGGCCGCCCATGACGCCGGCGGGGAGCCCTGGTATCGCAGCCGCGAGGCTAGGCGAGGCCGGGCGGAGAGTGCGCTGCCCCCRGCGGAGCAGCGAAGGAGGACTGGACCTCCGAGGAGCTCCCGACGCTGCCGCCCGCGCCACTGCTGCAGCCTCCACTAGGGCCCCGACTTTATATGGAAGCCGGGCGGGGGGGCTGGGGGGTTCTTCCACCACCGACCAGAGCGCTCTGACGTCTCCCTATCGCGAGCCGGGGCGCCCGGACTCCTGGCCCGGAAAACCATCCATCTCCCCTCGAGTGATAAAGAGGCTGAGCGAACAGTGCCCCCTCTCCCTTCCCCTCCTAGCCGCGCCCGCCTTCCCCACTCCGGATTAGGTCYGCCCATCCTCGACGCCAACACGATTTCGTGAACTGCCCCCTGTCCGACCTCCCCGGTCTCCCGCTTTTACTGAGCTCGCATCCAGCAAGGGGTAGAGAGCAGCGACCGGCAGCCTGATCTCAGAGGTAGAAGGGTGAGCACGGAGGATGGACGTTTTGTGACTGGGCAGTGCTGAAAGTGTTGGAACCGTGATTGCAGAGTACTCCTGATGTTCCAGACCCTTCCCTTCCAGGGGCAACCTCCCCGCAGTCCCAGTCTTAGACCTCCGGGCTGGCCTCCCTCCCGCAGACCTCCGCTCCGCCCCGCCCCGCCCCGCCCCCAGCACTCGGTGCCTCCCTCCACCGCGGCTTTCCCCGGCGCACCTGCCCACTCACACCGCGAGGTGGAGGACGGAACGGAAGGCCCGCTTTGAGAACAGCGAGAACGCTAGTTGGACTAAACACAGGGCCCCTTCCATAAGCACACTTCTTCCATAGAATAGAGAAGGAAACTGCTCTTCTGCTGATTTCCCTAGGCTGCGCCGGCGGGAGAGCTCCAACTGTCCCTCAGCTGCGACTGCCGCAGGAACAGGTCTCTAGAGGTGCTCAGCCTCCCTCTGCTCTTTCTGTTCTCTGGTCTAAAGACCCTTCACCCGCCCTATTCCTGAACAGTTAAATGCCATGAATGTGAAAGGGGCTCGCGCCATAGCAATGGGACAATAAATAGAAGCTGGTAGGATGCTGTTGCCCACGATTTGGCCGCCAGAGCTGCTCGAGTGGTTGTGCTTGTCATAGATGAGGGCTAGTCCTCACCAAGGTCTGGTGACTTGCCTCCCTGGTGAGTCTTTAATGTTCCTTATCCACATGGTGTTGACAAGATTGAAGCTGAAAATGTACACTTTGGTCTGAGAATCTGGTGATTCAATGCATATGTGCCTTTCTTAGGTGAGCACACACAACATATTGCATGACTGAACATTAAAACATGTTTTTTTTTTTCTGTGCATGTGTCTGCCTGTAAGGGGAAAAAGGCTGATTTTAAGGAAATACAATAGTATTATCCTGGGGAGTGATCCAAGTGAAAATCAAAAGGAAAGAGTCTACAGTTGGCTTTGATTCCATCTCTCTTGGGTTACCAGCCTCTGCAGTGAGTCCCCCCCCCCACTCCTCTGTGAACAGATGTTCACTGACAGGTGACTGATCATCCATAGCTTGCTCCCTCCCACTGGGTGAGCTTGCTTCAACTTGCTTCTCTGTACCCACACAGAGTGCCTGGATCACAGTGGTGTTCAACAAGTACTTGATGAATGAACAACTTATCTAAGATATGCTTAGGCCTGATGCCTTCTACAACTCCAAGTCTTTGAAGGAACACTAAATTCTTTTCTCTCCACATTAACTTGTTGGAAAAAAAAAATGTCCTTCCCATTTAGTTCAATCAAGAAATTTTAGAATCTTCTAAATGATGTTTTCACCCTATGGAACTAGGAAAAAAAACACTGTAGAGACATTCAAGTATAGGAACAGTTCTACAGAAAGCACAACTTTTCTGCTAATGCAGGCAACACCATTTGTGTGTGTGTGTGTGTGTGTGTGTGTGTGTGTGTGTGTCCCTTGCAGGACAAGATGTATCTGGGTCCCTCCATTCACCTCAGTTCTTGCTCTCAAAATTCCCAGCCCACAAGATTTCTGCCACCAAACTAAGGCTGGGCTATGTGACTTGCTTGGCACCCTGTAAGAACAGCAACTGCATCAGTCTTGTTCAGAACCACATTCACAGTGTGTATCCCAGTCCTAGGCACAGAGAAGGGACTCAATAGATGCAAATGGATACATCGTCTTGCAGGTGTAAGATGTGATCTAGTTCCCTAGCCAGAAAAGATAATGATTTGTTGTCAGAGAATGGAACCATTGTACATTTGATTCAGCTGGTGTGAATGAGCCCAAACAGATCCTGGTTGGATGCCCTCTCTTAATGAATGCCTTTTAAAGTTCTCACCAAGGTGTGCCAGGTAGAGATGATCAATCCCACTGACTTGGTTAGGGGAAACTTAACTGCTATGAAAAAGAGATCTCACTGCAAAGACCCACCTGAAAGAGACATTGGTTTCCTTTTTTTTTTTTTTTTTTTTTTAATCCAGAGCAGGTACTCCAGGTTGGCAGGCAGTTCTATTCCTCCTGGATATTCACCCCTTTCTTGAATCTTCCATTCAGGAACATCTAATCTAATTTTTTTTTCAAGTAACTGTTCCATCCTRTGCCTCTCCCATTCCCCAGAGCAGTGCCCCCCAGAAGATTAGCCCACAGGGAGCTGAGAAGAGTGTGTCAGAATGCAAATGAATGCTCTTCATCCAGAATGTCATGCGCTGGGAAAAAACTGTCACCTGAACTAAACAATGGCCTGCTGATTAGTGTTCTGGAACAAGCCCTCAACTCATTATGAATGGATAACAAGTAACTGATCTGTTGGACCACAGTGATTCCCTCTGTCCTATAGYACTGTCCCTGTCTGCATGGCCTGGGTGGCAGCTGGCAGGACAGGGAAGATGGACGGGGCATGCCCACTGTCTTGCTATACCAGTTCCAACGTAGCTCTGGTCTCTTTTGCTTATGTTCCTTTGGGTAAAAGTCAGCCACATGGCCACAGGTAATTGCAAGAGGGCTTGTGGTTGCAGTTGACGGTCAGTGATATACTAGCCCTGATGGCTGCACTGTGAAAAAGGAGCCAGTGAAGTTTGATGGACAGCTAAGAATCTGCCAGAACCGGCCTAGGGTGTCGAAGGCCTGGAGGAAGCTTACAACTTTTACTTAATAAAATAAAACTAAATTCTACAAGCTTGGTTAGGAGGAGAGTTCCCTCATAGAGATGAGCAACTTGACCTTGAGCCACCTCCTSCACCCCAAAGATATAGTCCTTTAGGGGTTCTATTGCTATCACCATGGGCAGTAACCCTTAGGCTCATTGGGCTGCTATTGCCCAAACTAGGACACCCCTTCCTTGAATCTTCCATTCAGAAACATCTAATTTTTTTTCAAATAACTGTACCATTTAATCACAAAAGTGCTGTGTAACAAGCAGCAGGCAACATGAGGTTTATTTCTCCTGTGTGTGCAGTGGGGCTGGTGCTGCTCAGCAGTGGCATGTGGGCTCCTCTGTCTTGGCTCCAGGCCAAGGTTGGGCTTAGGTTTAGGTGCCTGCACATGTTTTTCATCCTGTTGGAACCAGCCAGCTGGCAAGAGCATGTTCCTCTCCTGGCGGGGCAGAGAGTACAATCAGCAGGGCTCCTGAAGCCTGAACTTAGGGCTCACATGCTGTCATTTCTCCCTGGTGCTATTGAAAGTCACATGCAAGCCACCTGGGCAAGATCATAGCCAAAAYGTGGGGAAGCATGCATCAGGGACCAGGAAATGGCTGCAGGGAGAAGTAAACAATGGGGTCCCTATGGCCATGCAGAGTAGAGGGAAACAGATACTTAGTGACATCCTGCAAAAGAATTTGGCCCAAAGGAAGATGTTTATTCACCCTTGGCTTGGCATTTCTGGGGTTGGAGGGTGTGTAGGGCCATACCCCTGGGGGCCTTTCTCTCCAACCCCATGTGGTATTTTCCAGGAAATCCAATGTTGGTTTCTCCCTGTGCAATCTCTATGGCTTCCAGTCTGAAATACATTCTTTTTATGTTTATGTAGGTTTCAGGTCTCTGTACCATGACTTTTCTCTTCCAGAAATCATAGCTGTATGATGTGATTTTTAAGGGGGTTCCCCTCCCACACTTGGATGGTCTAATTTAATCAAGCCTCTTTGTATGCTAAGAAGAGAGACCCACTTAAGCTAGTAAAGTGGGATTTGTTGTAAGGACACACTGGGAATGTCAGGAGCCCAAAGACAGGAACTGTGTGGTCCATCTGAGTCTCAGTGAAACCAGAACTAGTCCTTAGGTCCCCCGTAGCCTTACTCCATGTTGTGTTCCCTCCTCTTTGCATCTGCTCCTTTCTCCTCTCTGTAGACTTAATTTCAGGTCCTCCACACATTCTCATTCCCACATAAATTCAGCCTACTCTGCAGCTCACTGCACCTACCCCAGCCTCCTGTAATGGAGCAACTATCCCCATAGCCTCCTAACTTCTGCTTCCACTGGAAACTGCCTCTGTCTTTCAGTTTCTCATCTCCAGGTTTCCAAGAGAAATAGGATCAACCTATCTGTTTTGGTCCAGCCACACAGGTTTAAGTTGCCCAAGATCAGATGCATGAGCATCTGGCAAGGGTCTAGCAATGCATGATGGTAGCCGTGGCCACGCTCACTCCACAGGACTCTGGGCAGGACTGTGTTCCTGTGCATAGGTGAGGCAGGTACCCAGATGTCTCATACACAGCATTCTTCTCCCTAGACCCTCAGGTGTGTCGTCTTGGACCTGATATTTCATGATTTGTGCTGTATCCTTTAGCTAAGCCCCACATATTTCATCTCTCAGGGCAATTTTTGTTATTTTCTCCTATGAAGTTCAAGTTTTGAAGTTCAAGATTTTTACTATGAAAAAGGTCCTATTTAATTTCCCATTTCAATTTACTGGAGCCTAAGGAATTGTCCATTAGCATTTCTAAGCAGGTAGAAATAACCAGCATTCCCAGAGTTGATGTAATTCCAACCTAAATCAC